ATTCCTGTGGTGCCTGTGGGACTTCCTTTCCACTGGCATCGAGAGCCGTGATGGAATGATGATGGAAGCCATGATGCAATCTGGGCTGGGCTTGAAGTCCTGACAACCATGGGAAGGCAGAGCTCATGATATCATGGCAGTTAAAGTTATTTAGCACTAGGCTTTGGAATAAAGCATCTTGGCTCTGTTTCCATATCATTCCCTTTCTCTGGTAATGTCACCAAACTTGGACAGAAGCTTCCCAAGCTGTGCATTTGCCTTGGGCTGATTTTGCTGAAGCTCTGGAGAGGAAAGGGGGGGGTAGGAAGCAAGCCTGGCATGTATGAGCATGAAATGGAGGGGAAAATATGGTGCCTTCCCTATGGAAAAGAAGTCGTGCTATTGCTCCCCTTCCGACAGTTGTGCTGTGGGGCTGGGGCTGCCCAGGGACTGTGCTCTGGGGCTGGACCATGTGCTGACCCCACTGACATGTGCTGAGGGACATCAGGATAAGTCTCCAAAGATCCCATCTGTGGAGCATCCTCTGCCCCTCTGGGCCCAGACCTGAGCCCCCTGCCCGTCACTCCACGGCTACCCTCCCATCTCCCCTCCCTCTGAAGGCTCAGCTATGGGCACGCACCTCTCTGCTCCCCACACATCTCAGGGGGCTTATTTCCAGCAGCTGGCATCCTTTCCAAATCTCCCTCTACCCATCTGTTGTTATCAAGCCTCCTCTCTCCTTATTTTGCTTAATTTCTCTCTCTTTCCTCTTGGTTGTCTTAGACATGCCTATGTCTCTCTGCAGATGCCCAAGCATTTGCTTTCGAGTGCCTTGGGCTGCTTCCTCCCATTATCTCCTTGCAGGAGCGAGGGAGCTGCTGTTCCTTGCTTTGGGAGAGGGACCATGTCCCCGAGGCAGTTATTGAGGAGCAATGCACTCGTAGATGTTTCTTTGTGGCCTCCTTGAGCAGGAAATTTGTTGTTGTATCTCCTTTCCAGTTGACAATGTCAAAACGTGATCAAGTTGGGTTGGTTTGGCCTCCTTGTCTCTGTGTCAGACACAGACACCAGACCATGCTCCCTGCCAGGGCAAGTCACACCTTCTCACGGCACAGTCTGCTCTGGTGAGGTCTGAAATGTGGGTTTCAGGCTGGGGATTTCAGGAAATAAGTTCTGCTTCATTTTGGATAGTCCAGAAAGGTTTTTCTGGAAGAGGCTTCCATCCTGCTGGGAAGGGTGGTTGGCAAGCCCAGCTGGTGTGAGATGAAGGCTACTCTCGCCCAAAGCACTTGCTTGTTCCCAGCTGTTGGAATGATGCCAATCCATCCTTCGCTCCTCTGAGACGCAGCTTATCCTGCCGCGGGCACCGGCTGTGGCCACGTTTGCTGGGGAGGGTGTGGGGAGTCTGGGACAGCAGTGAGTCCTCCCTGCCTGGATCACAGGAATGCCATCCCAGATGGATGTGCTGCTTGGCGCGGGGATGCTGGTGCATTCTAATTGCTGGCATCTTTACTTGTTACGGGTGTAATTGTGAGTAGACGTTTGTTTTTGTATTGATAATTAGGGACTGGAACAGATGGCGAAGGCTTAGTTTAAAGTAATGTGTCCATTAAAGAAAATCTACTGTATACAGCTGAAGATTCTTCACTCTAAGAGAGCTCAGCTCTTGGTAGCAGAGCTCCTCTTCTCCCTAATGAGGGCTTTGGCCATTACAGCCTGGGCAGCGGAGCCGCAGATCCCACACACTTCTCCCTGTGAGTGCTTTGAACTCCCTCCTTGCACCCACATGCAGGTGGGGAGGAGTTGCTGGAGAGCCTTGAGCAGGTGAGGGATGGCAGTGTCTTGGACACGGAGCCTGCCCGGTGGGACTGGCGGATCCAGGTGGGCAGGCAGCACGTGGATCACCTGGCGTGGTTGACGATGCCGAGGCATGGGGAGATGATGTACCCCTGCACTGACACCCCTGGGGGGATTTAATTAATGTCCAGTGCCAAATAACGAGGACTGGTCCTCATGGAAGGGTGAGGCAGGTGGGAGGAGAGATGTGAGGTGTCCATGTGGCTTCTCCGCTCATTAAGGATGCTCAGGTACTGATCTACACTAATCCCCTTGTTAGAGGCAGAGTAAAGTATTTCCCTGCCTGCCCCTCCTTTGCCTGCTCCCAAGTGAGGGATGTTGGATCCCTGTGTCCCCACACCTGTAGGGTATTTTGCAGATGTGAGTGCCGGGGTCCCCATCTTGTCCCCCATTTCTCTGTGAGGACTTGGGATCTGCAAACCCTCCCCTGCTGAAGGAGAGTGCTCAGCAGCCTTAGCCCTGAGAAGCCTGTCCAAAGTGTCCCCCGGAAATGAAGTAAAACCCAAGGTTTCCTCCAAGAGGAAATAGGAGAGGTCAATGGGAAGTTGCTGAGCTGAGTCCTTCTGGTGCCAGCACCTCTGCTGTCACGGGGTTGGGTGAGCTCAGCAGGAATTCAAGCTGAAGGGGGAGATTTAACCATTTTATTTTATCTAACAAAAAAACATTTTTTTGCCATTTTCCTGTCTGTGGCAGTGTTGCTGGGAGATAGGGCAGGACCTGAGCAGGAATGGTCTTTAGAGGGTCAGGCTCTCAGACCTCTTTTTCCTTTGCTTTGCAAATTGTTTTGGAAACATGGAGCTGTGGAAGGGCAAGTGTTGGCCACCAAAACTGAGTTTGTTACCTGTTGTGTAACAGGCCACAGAGTCCCCTTAGGACTCCAGAAGCATCCAAAGTGAAAGCTTCTCCACAGTTCTTTTCCATTTATTCATCTATTGTTAATTTATTTTTCTATTTATTTAGTTATTTTGAAGTCTCCTGCTTTGGCATTGCTTCTGTGCCTTTCTGCTTTCCTTGCAAAATGTGAAACCTTTGGGGAGGCACACAAGAGGAGGGGAAGGGGTGAGATTTTGGGAGGGGCCCTGGTGAATGTCACTTCGGAGCAGAGCTGGTTCTCGCGTGCTACCGTCCCACAGGGCAGCTGTTCTATATCAAAAGTGCATTCCTCTGTCAAACCCCGGGAAAGGAAGCTGTAAGTGCATGGAAGAGGAAGGGAGATGATGGAGTGAAAACCCTTTCTGAATAAACCCTTAGGAGAAGTGTCCTTCCTGTAAGGGAGCATGTCCTTATTTATCACCGGGCGGATGAGCCAGCCCTGGTCCCTGCCTGGCCGTGTTCCCTGTGTCACCCTGTTCTCTGCTGCCTCAGTTTCCCTGTGTGGCACAAGGACACCCTGTTTCCTGTGGGGGAGAAAAAAACCAAGGGTTTTAGGGGCTTTCAGAGCATCCCCCTGATGGAGCCCACAGGCAGGGGGCACTGGGAGATGTTTGCAGGGCCTGTCGCTTCCACCTCCACGTCCATTTATGCTTGGACACATCTGCCTGCTCACTTGAAGGGCTGTAGCAAGGATTAATGGCTGTTTAATTAGGGGCTGGGCTCTTTGGAAGGGAAGGAAGGCTTGGAGGTGATGGGATTAGAAACTTGCAGGACGTCTGGAGCACTGGGGCCTGGAGTGACAGGACAAAGGGGAATAGCTTCTCACTGCCAGAGGGCAGGCTTAGATGGGATTTTTGGAAGAAACTCTTTCCTGTGAGGGTGGGGAGGCTCTGGCACAGGTTGCTTAGAGAAGCTGTGGCTGCCCCTGGATCCCTGCAAGTGTCCAAGGCCAGGTTGGACGGGGCTTGGAGCAACCTGAGCTAGTGGAGGGTGTCCCTGCCAGTGGTTGAAATGAGATGAGCTTTAAGGTCACTTCCCACCCAGACCATTCTGTTATTCCATGATTCAGGGCTGGGGAGGAGTTGCAGCTGGGATACCTCATTTTTAGCTGCCTTTTGCCAAATGGAAAGGGACTGAAACTGTATAAAGTGACCTGTGATAGTGTGAAGGCCACCAGGCTTTTCTGCTTCCCCTATGGAGCAGGACGGAAATGTCTCCTGTTTGAGGGCACTGTGGGCAGGAACAGCCTGGCACCACGAAAAGAAGGGGTGCCTGTGTGTTTTGAACGCTCCTGGCATTGCCACAGCAGCATCCTATGGCTGGTTAGGGGTGCAGAAGCTTTGCCAGCTTCCACTGCCTTCTCACTCCATCTCTGGAGGGGCTGCCTTGCTCTCTCTGCACCGGTGCCCATGCTTACCCCGGGAGCCAGGCCAGGTTGGAAGCTCCGATGGGGATTTTGGGAGAGGGAGCGTTTATCACTCGTGGCAGGGCAGGGAGTTCCCGGTCACGCTCCTCCGGCTTCCCATCCCGGAGCAGCCGGCGAAGGGAGGGGTTGGAAGATTAATAGGGGTCTTGTTTCCCGCTTGTGATTGCTGGAGCAGGCGCGGAGAGATTAAAAGCAGCAGCCCGGCGGCAGCTCAGATTCCTGGGCTGATTTTTATTTACTGACCTTTATTTCTCTGGTCCCACCCGTTTTCCTGGCGCTGCGAAGCTGCCGTGAGTACCTGGGAGCACGGAGGGAAGGGGAGGGGTGGGGGATGCTCGGATGTGCCAGCGGCACTTCTCCTCCTCCCATTTGGTGGGGACACAGGAGCCGAGGAAATTAATCTGCATGTCTGCTTGCTGCAAACAAATAAATAAAACCTGGAGGGTTTTCCCCATCTGTTTCTAGATGGTGTTGCTCTCACAATTATTCTTGTTGTGTTCTGTTGGTTTTTAGTTTTTTTGAAGACTAAAAGTAGGAAATGATATGACTCCATGAAATACAGCATCCTTTAATTTTTAGTTGTTTTTTGTTTGTTTGTTTGTTTGTTTTTCAGTTGGTATTTTCCTTTCCTGGGTGTGGAAGGGTTACAGTTGGCATTGTGGGCTGGGTTCAGGCTGTGACTCTGCTCTGGAGCGAAGCTGTCCTGTATCCATTAGATGTGTTAGGGCTGCTGCTGTTTGATTCCTGAGCACTCCAATGTCATGCATGCTGTGGGAAAGCAACAGGGAAGGTTTTTCTGCTGCTCTGTACTCCTAATGTAACCAAAAACTTTGGGAATAACTTTCTGTTTCTTCTGTTTCCTCAGAAACTTTGATGGATACGCGGACAGCGACGGCCGAGCTGGGCTGGACCGCCAACCCACCCTCGGGGGTAAGTGCCACTCATCCATCTGATCCTTACATAGTCTGGTGGGATTCATGCTTTTAACCCTACTATTTATGGGGCTAAAATGCTGGTGGGAAGCTGAGGAAGTTGCAGAGGGAGCTCAGTGACCCACATCTGTCTCTGTCCTGAGCTGAGTGGGTGATCCGGGCTGAGCATCCCTTCCCTGGACCAATCCTGGGGGCTTGGTGAAGGTGGAACTTTCCTCCATCTCCATGCTCCCTCCTTCCCTTCCTGTCCTCCTTCCTGGTGATGCGTCCAGCCCCATCACTGCCCTCCACGCCCCTGCTCGTGCCTTCCCTCTCCCTGTGCTGAAAGACTTGTAATTAGGAAACATTAGCAGGCTCAAAACAGCTTTCATACCTGGAACATCATCCGTAATTGCACTCGGCAGTGCTCTTCCTTGGCTATTAATGTCACTTTTATGAAGTAATGAGGAACAAAACACCCTGAGGCACTTAAAACATCTTTTTTATATAGTATGAGCCTTTGAGAAATGGGACCATAAAATAACCTGACTCACATTCTCCTGGCAGAAAAAAGTGAGAGATGGAGCTGAGGGGAGAGGAGCAGCGGAGGTAGAGGATGTCAGCTGATGGATGGTCACCACGGTGGGACAGGGAGGCTGGAGCAGCAGCAGGGTCCATCCCTGGGGACTCCAGGATGTGGCACTGGAGTGGAAAGAATGCCAGGCTGCTTCTTTGTTAGGGTGTGACTAGCTTGGCCAGATCTTCAAAAGAATTGTGTTTGCACACCATCACCAAAGCTGAACCACATATGCAGCGGGCACAGAATCCACTCCAGGCATGTCAGAGCCCCTTGAAACGAGGGGCTTTGCTACTGCATTGCTTTGAAAACAATCCAAGCCTGGATAAATTGCTGGAAAAATGCAGGAGGGGCACATGCAGGTGGTGGAGATGGGATATAAATAGCTGCTTGCAGCTGCTGTCGGTGAGGGCCCATGCAAGGCAGGCAGGGAGCTTGTGTTATAAGGCACAGTGGTCTCACCCTCTGTGGAGCAGCAGAGTGAAGCCCTTCCCCAGCCCCCATCCCTGCATCCCACTGTATGCATCCCTGATCCTGTTGCCACGCTGTTCCTGACAGGGAGAGGAGCTCCTGACTGCTGCTGGGGCATCAGCCCCTTCTCCCAGGCTCGTCTCACCTCTCTTAGGGCCGGATGCACAGGGATTTGTTGAGCCATCTCTCCTGACTCTGTGGTTGCGACCCTGTTGGCATGGGCTCTGTGTAGGCTTTGTGTCATTTAGGGTGGTGGCATCTCCCCTTGGTGTGTGCTGAGCTCACAGCTCACCCTAGCTCACAGATTTGCCCTTTGGGGCTTGGGGAATGTTGGTTTTCATGCCAGGGCACGATGCCAGGCAGGCTGCAGGGGCTGTGGCGGGATGTGGACTCTTCTGCTCTCCCTGAAGAATGTGCTTTAAATCTGAGCGGAGACAGAGAACAACATTGACTTAATCCCCAGCTCCCTGTGAATTATTTAGTAGCATCTCATCAAAATGATGCATTTGTCGCTGTTAGAGCATCGGTGGCAGCAGCTGCTGGCACTGTGGGTCTTTCCAGCCACAGGGACCTACAGCTCTCGGTGCCAGGTTGCAGGAGGGCTCAACCCAGGGGATGCCCAAGGCAGCCCCAAACCCTCATGAGGGTTTTCCAAGGGGCATTCCATGTCATTCCTAAATGCAGGAAACCCTGAAGTGCAGCAGGGTCCGCTGGCAGGTTTTGACTCTGAGGGTTTTGAGGATGAAAAGGAGGATTCCCACAGCAAGGACAGCAGAGCCACGGGAACGGTGTTAATGCTGGAAGAGAACTCATTTTCTGGTGTTAATTGGATGTAGGGCTGCAATGGGAAACCTGGGTGGGAACGAGAAACAATGCCAACCCTCTCGGTCGGGGAGGACTGTACCGCTTCTGCTGTGAAAAGGTGTCTGGTAATGAAGGGGCATTGAATCCACACGCCTTGTTCAGGGGGGAGAGGGGGTTTTGCAGTGCTTTCACAGCATGGGGTGAGAAAGAAGAGCACTCAGCTGGATGCAGGAGTCTTTATTGCTGGTGTGGTAACCATGGCTTAACAACAATGTGCAACCTTGAGCTGTGATCTTGGTTTAAGCTTAGCAGAGCCAAGTAGATGGACCTGGGAGCGAATGTTCTGCCACACTTGTTGGCAGCGTGTAGAGGACACTGCATGGAAAACACAACTAAAACCTGCATTTTTGTTACATCAGGGCTGTGGTTTACAAGGTGGGGAGGCTTGGGGAGGAGTTGAGAAACGTGGTTGTTTAATGGAAAAAGGAAAAGGGCAAAATCTGTGAGATTTCAGGGTATGTTGCGGTGCATCAGCTCGTCAAGACTCGGTGTGATGGGGCAGGTTGGCATCACCTGCCGTGCCCCCATGTAAACACAGGCGTGAGCGCTGCTCCAACATCGCTCCTGGAAATTATCCCTGATACTGAGAGCGCTGCGAAAGATTGCCATATGAATAATGCTGTTATGAGGAGACTGTAAACATGGATTAGTTAAAATGAATGGATTATGAGGTTGTAAATCTGTCTGTAGGACTCTAATGCCATCATAGACTATTCACAGTTTGCCGCTGTCCCTTAATTGAAATTGTAGCCTGGATTATATTAATGCCCTTCTATAAATCGAATTGCAAATCTATATTCCCTCTCTCCACGGCAGTAATGTTTTATTTAGTTAGTGTTCTTTGCCGGGGGAAATGATCCCGTTGTGCTGGGAGCTTGGGGTCAGGCTCTCCAGCCCACGTGCTGGCTCGGGCTTTAATGAAGCTGTAGCCTTGTGTACTGCCTTCCCTCCTGCCCCCAGGTGCCTGGACCATCTTTCTTCCCATGTTTACTTCTCAGGGCAGCTAAGGCAGTTGCCTACTTGGAAAAAATGTTTTAGTATCAGTTGGGAGCGGTGGGGAGACACATCCAGGGGCAGGAGGGTGAGGATTTCTTCTGGTGCTGGCCTGGGTGGTGTTTCTGAATGTGCATCACATTGTGTGTCCCTAATTACATTCCTAGTCCCTTTTGGAACTTTGGGATTGTCATTCCAGTGCCCAATGCAGGGTCAGCAGCACCTCTACAGCTCACAGGCCACTGCAGGTCCCCATTCCTACTTCTCACTGCTTCCCCCTTCTCCTTCCTGCAGTGGGAAGAAGTCAGTGGCTACGACGAAAACCTCAATACCATCCGTACGTACCAGGTGTGCAACGTCTTCGAGCCCAACCAGAACAACTGGCTCCTTACCACGTTCATCAACCGGCGTGGTGCTCACCGCATCTACACCGAGATGCGCTTCACTGTGCGGGACTGCAGCAGCCTCCCCAACGTCCCCGGCTCCTGCAAGGAGACCTTCAACCTCTACTACTACGAGACAGACTCTGTCATTGCCACCAAGAAGTCCACCTTCTGGACAGAGGCACCCTACCTCAAAGTGGACACCATCGCTGCTGACGAGAGCTTCTCCCAGGTGGACTTTGGGGGCAGGTTGATGAAGGTGAACACAGAAGTGAGAAGTTTTGGGCCCCTGACCCGCAATGGCTTTTACCTGGCCTTCCAGGACTACGGGGCTTGTATGTCTCTGCTGTCTGTCAGGGTCTTCTTCAAGAAGTGCCCCAGTGTGGTGCAGAATTTCGCCATCTTCCCGGAGACGATGACGGGAGCAGAGAGCACCTCTCTGGTGACTGCTCGGGGCACCTGCATCCCCAACGCCGAGGAGGTGGACGTGCCCATTAAGCTGTACTGCAACGGCGATGGGGAGTGGATGGTCCCCATCGGCCGCTGCACCTGCAAGGCTGGCTACGAACCGGAGAACAATGTGGCTTGCAAAGGTAAGGCTGGCTTTGGGCAGCAGGGGGCTTTTGGTGGTTTTAAGACAAAATATTTTTCTCTAAACAAGCTGGTTTGAGCAATGTCTATTGTGAAACTGGCTCTGCACCATTTCTCAGCCCTGAAGTGGTTTTACTCCAGGGACCAGGCAGGAATTTGGGAGCAGCGGCCATGCTGCAGCTTCTCAGAGTGCTCTGGTCAGTGGCCGGTCTTGGTGAGGCCGCGGGTGCCGGAGCTGTGTCCGCTGCCCTCCTACTGGAAGCCGCCTCTGGGATCCAGTGCCTTCAAAGTGCAGGGCTCACTGGCTGAGCTGCTTTCATCTACCTCGTTATGTCCCCAGCAGCTGTGGCTGGGCCCCACTGCAGCAGCACTGCTCTGAGCCTTGCCATTAATCGGGATTTTGTTCGCGGGTTTTTTTGGGTTCCCCCAGCCACGCTGCCAGTGTGCTACTGCCTGCTGGAGTCCTGCAGCACGAGGTTATAAATATGAAAATAGTGCTCCCTGCTTTTCATCTCCTTTCACTGATGAATATTTCCCAAATACCACTGGAGGATTATTATTTTTTTTTTCTGTTGTCTGCCCTTTCCTTCTCTTTTCCCAAATTAAGGTGTTGGTTTTGCATGCTGCTTGGAAGGAGGGAAGTGAAGGATTTTTGCATGAGGTGCTAACTGTGTTTCATCAGTCCTGAGTAGCTTCTATAAGGTCACCACCACCAGGACAAGGAAGGGTTGGCGAGAAGGAGAAGGTCAAAGTGCTTTAGGTCTGGTTTTGGGGTTGTAGTGGAAAGAGGTTTGACTTGGACCTGTTTTATTGCAGGTGGTGGCAACGTGTGTAGCACCAGGCTTGGCTGTGATGCTCCTTGGGGTGGCCGCCACCATGTTTTTTCTTCACCTGTAACTGTGGATATGTGAAGATGGCAAAGCTAGGATTCAAGCTGGGGAGAAACTTGATTGTTTCCACTTGTTTGCTTTAAACTTGGGAACTTGTGTAGATTTTCACCATGAGAAACCTCATTCCCACCTGGCTAAGGTGGGCCTGCGCCAGGGCTCTGACAACTGGGAAACCACCAGAATCCTTGCTTGAGGAGCACTGCTGGTGGATTCCTTTGGGTTTTGTGGTTGACCCTGGAGGTGGTTTTGTTTCCAGGAAATGGTGTGTCCCTGTGAGGAGCTGAAGTGCTCTGTCGGAGGGAGGGCTCTGCAAACGGGAGCGTTTCTGGCGAGATGTTCCTCTGCTGTTGAATCAACAAATGGAAAACGCACATGGTTTTATGGCAAAATGACATTTTCTCATCATAGGAAAACAAATACTAATTTTAGTTAAACGCTGGAATTGGGAAATAGTGTCATTTTGCCAGAAATGTAGGAAAACTGAGAACGTAAAACTGAGGCAAGGTTTGGTGTGTTGACCTTTCTATCCGCTTCCAGTTGAGGTGGTAGAGAAATCTGGGGTCGTGAGTGCTTTTTACCCCTGGGAAGAGTGCGATGCACCTCCTCAGTGCTTGTAGTTTGGGGCAGGATGGAGGATGAAGGAGAGCAGGACACACAAGAGGCATGGTAGCAGACCTGCTCAGGGTGGGTGTTAGATGATCTCCACGGCTTTTTTTTGTTTCCTTTTCTTGTGCATACCCCATGAGGGTTGTGATGTGTTCATGCCATCAAAGCTACACTGAGCAGGCCCCAGCAAGTTGGGGATTTATTGGGGTTTCTGTGCTGTAGTGCCTGTCCCCAGCTATGCTTCCACTGCTCCACAGTGGTGGTGCCAAAGGAGAAACTGCTGAGCTGCTGGTGAACATGCTGCCTTTGCATGGGGAGCATACTTTGCATTTGGGCTCCTTGAGGGGAAAATTAGGGATCCTGGCAGCTCCAAGGGAGTACAAATACCCTTTATGGATTGACTGGCAGGATTTAGGGTCCTGAAAGGCACCAAAGTATGCTGTGGGTGCAGGGCAAACAGGTGGTTAAATGGCACCAATCACATCTGTGATGACAGGACAATGCTGTTTTGATGATCCCACAGGTGCTGGTACAGTGCTGTTGGCAGAGGTGATCTCCAATAACTCCCCTTTCCCAGTCCCGTGACAGTACTTCCCAGTTCCCATGTCAGGAAGACAGAGAAAAGGCTGGGATTGCTTGATCCAGGGCTTACGTTAGGGCTGTTGGAAATTCATAATTGCATTTGAGTAAAAATCTGACCTTGGGTTGGACTCTGGCTGCTTGGTAGCTCATTGGCCATCAAGCTCCTCCTTGTATCCCCCTGGACCTTGGAGATGGCCAGGGAAGAAGACCTGAGCCCACCTCAGGTCGGTGGGCAGGATGTGGCACATGGCAAAGTTTAGGAAAATTCCTTGGTTTTCTGTTTGATTTTGTGTTCTCTGAAGGGGTCATATTCTCCTGCTTGGTTCTCCTTGCAGGGGTGCTGCTAGGACCACAGCTCCTGGGAAGCACATGGTCCTGACATCTGCTCCAGGCCTTTATCAGCCTCAGATGAGCCGCTTAACAAGCCCGGGGGAATTGTCACCAAGGAAAAATAAAATGATAAAGAAAATCCCACAGTATTCAAAGGCTGAGAAAATGGGCCTAATTCCTCCGTGGAGGGGAAAAAGAATCGGGCTGAATTGTTTAGCTGCCCCAGGTCCCTCTCCTCCCTCTCCCCCCTGGGACAGAGGCTGTGCCTATCATGGGGCCATTAGACCGGGGCAGGTTCGTGCTGACAGCAGACTCGGGGCGCTCAGGGATTCGTTAATACCGGCTTTTATCAGCACTTATCTGCTCGCGGGAGGCACCGGCACAACGCCATCCTCACCGGGGGGACTTGGAGCCCCAGGAGATTATTCTCATGTTTTAGGGTCAGAGGGATGGGGGGCCGTTACCACCACCACACCAAGGTGAGTGTGGGAGGGAGGGAGGGGGATTGTCTTTCTTGATCTGTCCCATTATCTGTTCCCATCCCAGGCTGGGTGGGATTTGGCACAGACCTCCTGGCACAGCTGTCAGCTGTACCCCAGAACTCAGTGGACTGCCTGCCCCATCCTCTTGGGCACCTCGTGCCCGTGCGAGTGGTGGGTCAGTGGGAAATGGAGGCTGCTATTGAATCCAAAATGAATAATTCATGTGGTGCAATAGCCCATGCTCCGATCGGGCTGATATTAAATCCATTCATCTTGCTCTGCCCTGGCCCTCAGCCTTGCTTTATGGCTTCCTTGCGTGGTTGGGGGGCAATGCATCATCCTGCTGGGGAGGAGGTGGCAGGAAAAGTGGGAGCGGGGATCCCTGGGAGGCAGGGGAAACCTTGGATGAGTGTGCTGGGTGGGTTTCACTTGTTCTCTGAGAACGGTAATTAAACCCTTTCTCGGCTGGTGTTTGAAACCTAATGACGGCAAGGTAACCCCTGCCTAGAATGTTTCCAGTTGGGAATCTCTCGACTTTCATCCCTTTTGACTTTGAGGAGGGGGGAATTTTTGTCTACTGGAGTCACAATGACTTTCTCTGCCCTTCCCAGTGCCAGGCACTAACTCAGGTGCACGGAGGAGGAAAAAGTCTGGTTCTAAACCAGCTTTGTGCTGAACTTTGATGTTGTATTTATAAGTCCAGGGAGAAGGGGTGTGAGAGCAGTCCTGCTGCTTCCTAGCCTTGCCTTGGTTTCGATTTTCCCCTCCTGGCAGATTCCTGTCATAGCATGTTCAGGAGCCTCCACGGTGCCACTGCCTGGGAGAATCAGCTGGCCTGCTTGCTCCCAGCAGCTGGAAATCTGAGCCAGCAGGGGGGCAGAATTAAATAAAACCCCCATAAAATAAACACAAAGCTGGGCTACGATGCCCATGATGCAAAGGCTGGTCCTTGAGCATCCTTGCTCCCAGGAATGCCTGGCTTTCCACGAGGCAGATGATCCCCTGCCCCATCTGGATCCAGGTACCCCCATCCTTTGCCATGTGCCGACCAGCGTGCCGGGCTGTGCCCAGCTTTTGCCAAACCTCTGTGTGTGAATTTTTTCTGGTCTCCTCCATCCCTTTGGTTTCTGTTTTTTCTCCATTTGTCCTTCCTTCCTGCCTTGTGTGTGGAGGGCTGGATTTGGGAAGGGGCAGTAGGGGGGAAATGTCACACCAGTTGAATGTCAAGGAGTGAGTAGTCTCACACTGGTCTCCCATTGTCCTCCCCTCTTTCTGAGCAGCCTTAGCAATAATTAATAATTTCTTCTACTTGTCCATCACAGAAGATTGGAAACAATAGGATTTTTAAAAATACTAATTATGAATATTTTTTAATTAGTAGTAGAACAATTTGCTAACCAGGGAAACAAGTTACAATAAGAAAAGTGTCAAATTTTCACAATCAAATTGTTGCTTGTTCTAAGAACTGGGTCTTTCTGATCTCTGACTGTGCCCTTGCCTGCCTTTTCCCTGCTGTGTGGTCCAGCCTGGTGCCCCTGTACCATTTTGGAGCACCCAGGAGAGGTTTTCTCAGGTGATAAAGGTGATATTGGTTTTGTCCCATAGGTGCATGGCAGGGGTGTCATGGGAACACAGGAGCCTGCTCCCCTGTCTGGTGTGTATCCATTCCATCTCAGGGTTCTGCAGCTCCATGCCCTAATGCCTGGGGCAGAGTGAGCAGGTCAGGCATTGCAGGGGCTACAGAAAGGCCCTTTTTTTGCTTTTTAGTGTGGCTTACTTTCAGTTTTTCCTCCGTGCTGCTAGTTTTGTGTGTTTGGGAATCATCCTCTTTCCAGCCTCTGTGCTGAGCCTGCCGCCCCTTGCTTCTCCACTTCAGCATCTCCCTCCAGCTTCCCTGGCCCACAGATGATCTCTCTTTTCATATTTTTCTCCTCTAAAACAGGAGGGGAAAACCAAAGAGGCAAAAAGAAAGTACTTGCCCTACGCCTTTCTCTCTCCACCTGCTCTTGGATTTGGCTTAGTAGGGCTCAGGATGGGGCCGGCAGTGTCATGGAGTAGGGCAAGTGCTACAAGGGCTGGGGAGTCTATGGATAAAAATTAAATAATTGGGCT